TCCCTTAACTAGGAAGATAATGTTACTTTATATGTATAATTGTTTGGAAATAATAAACCATTATGTAATAATTTGCAGTTTTTTTTTTCAAATTAATTATCGTTATATGTATATGAAAAAAAAAATCTTTCTGGCTGAAGCCTCCCCTCCAAAAAAATTAAATCTGGATTCGCTAGTGTATATCACTTCAATTAGTGCAAAAGGTCGTATGTAAAACTTTTCAACTTTTATTCTATTCGTGCTAAAGGTGACATTTTGTAGTCTGCAACTGATATAAGTAGTCTGCTACTATGGAAATTAGCAGATGGCAATAAAATATGAAATTATAATAATAAAGCATAAAGAAACAATAAATTTTTACATAAGACCTTTTGCACTAACAGTATTGAAATTCATGCTCAGGATGCGTTTTTTTTTATTTTATTTTTTTATTAAGGATAATCAAATACGGCATTCTTTTATTGAATGTTGAAGGGTAACTGTATTTCCGAATCGGATTCTCCCATAGATTTTATTCTCATACGAAAAATTCTATACCTTGTAATATCTTAGTCAATGAAAACGGTAAGGAAGCTATATATTGACCCTACTTTGCAGACGTTTTTATTCTGAAAGATACGTTGATTCTACCTCCTTCATTGGAAAATATTTATATAAATGAGAAGGAATTATTATTGTTTAAATTAATTTGCATCTAGAAAAATAATTACCTGAGGAAATAGCGAAATCCTATATCGTCGCCATTTACCTCATTCGTCGGGAACTGCGTAATGATTGACGAACAGTAAATGAATTGATGGGAGGCGTCACAGCAGTATACTGCGCAAGGTCAGTCAAGGTCTACATCGTTGTAAACTGTCACCAATATTTACCTTAGGTATTATTTTGAACGTGTAAACGCTATCGAGGACGTCTTTCTAGCTATTCAGTCGGCAGCGCTGAATATTGGTCTAGAGATCCAACGAAACCAAAACAAAATACATGATGGCGAACGGTGAAAATAACTTAATGAACGCCACAGCTATCACAATAGGAAATTTCTCCTTCGAAAGGTTTTCAAATTTCGTCTATCTGGGTAACGTTGTCACCTCTTCAAACAACATAACCCTCGAAATCAGCCGACGGATCGCGGCAGCCAACTGTTGCTTTTGTTGTTCTCACAAGGAGAACGAAGAGTCGACTCTTCACCATAGAAACCAAGGTACAGCTGTACAAGACTGATGAGACCGGTTCGTTTCTATGCTTCACAACCTGGACACTATCTAAAGGTACTTTTTCGCTGGTACTGCACACGGCAGCGAACAGTATTTCACGCTACCAACCGCCATTGCTTGGCTATTTTGCTGAAACTGCTCACTGGGGTTGTTATAACCTGCATATAATCTTTGAACATTTCGTTATAACTTCGAAGATAAAAAAATGTACTTACTGCCTCTTACTACAGCTTTTTTATTAGAAGATGAAATGTTGTTGATAACTACCTTCTAATGCTTCATGGGTTCGAATTCGTCTGATGACTGGTAATTTTTCATTAGCCGTGGATCGTCCCTGGGGTCGAGATACCCTCCTGGGGTACACCCAGTCCGTCATAAGTGGGTACTATTGATTAATGAGGAAAACCTCGCGATTGAGCGAGATCTCGGCCTGATCACCTCCCTGCACAACCGTTGGTCTTAAAATAGTACTTCGTAGGCAGTACTGAAACCAGGTACCTTCATGTATTGTAGCATTAGGGGATGCAGGATTTAATTTTGGGAGGGGCTTCAGCCCGAAAGATTATTTTTTCATATACATATAACGATAATTAATTAAAAAAATAAAGAAATTAACTACCTATATGAAATGGTGTTCAAGTGGTTCTTGAAATGTAATTACTGGAACAAGAATACTTTAAGAGATAGTTTTTAATATTTTTGTTTATTAGATTATAGGAGAGGTCAAATGAGCAAAAAATGTCTATATATAATTCCTCCCGCGTCCTTAAGGTGCTAGCTTTGGTTTCGATCCGCTCTCAACTGAAACTGAAATATATTTTTTATTTTTATTCGACTTTACAAATTTACTTTGATCATTATTCTTTTATTATTACATATTATTCTTTTATATATTTGTTTGTTCATTTATGCTTTATTTTTTTATTTATTACATATATATGTGTATATATAATACATATATGTATATATATTTAAATATTTTTTATGACTATGTTTCTGTACGTATATATTGTATGAATGACTACTTACCTTTCATAAAACTAATACTTATTGCCCTTCAATGTGGCTGAATGTATTAATATTTAATAAATAAATAGAGGTAAAAAAAAAATGAATGAGAACAAATATTTCTTTTTTTCTGGCTCACGAGACGTCTTTAAAATTACAATGTATTATTAGCAGCAGATGCGACAATTTGTAGCGATAGTTAAATATATTGTTATATGTGTTATGTGACGTATTGTAAACATTGACGTGTCATGCAGAGGATAAATCTGAGCGACATATTGGTCTATATTAAGGACCAACTACGTCATCAATCTGTATTACAGACGTCACTGCCATCCTTTTTGTTGACATTTAAATGATGACTTTGACAGGAATCGATATCTGGCTTCCTTCCTATCTCCCCTCTCCCACTCTCTCAAATTATTTATTATAGAATTGTTCGTTTGTTTAGTTTTTTTTTTTTTTTATATGGAGCGGGGTGGCTCAGTGAGTTAGACATTAGGGTGCTAAACCCAAGATCCAGGGTTCAAATCATGAGACCCTCAGGAGTCACTAGAACCTCCTGTGGCACACACACCCTCTATAAAAGCGCGTACTTTAAATATTAATTAAATAGGAAACATGGCGATTGAGCGCGATCCTGGCCCGATCACCTCTCTATTTAACCGTCAGCCTTGAAACAGTACTTCCTAACAAAATACTGCAATAATAAAGCAGTTTTAAATTAAATTTAGTTTTTATTCTGATCGATGTTCTCTAACAGTGCTTAAATGGCTAATTTTGAATATTATCGTCCTATATTTAATATTTTTTATTTGAAATAATTGACTATTTCCCATTAATCTGTGATATAGACCATAATTAAATATAAAATATGAAAGAATTTTATCATTAATTAAAGGAGAAATAAGAGATCGTAATGGAGAATAGTTGTAACTAGAGAATCAAAGGAATACGAGTGCACCCGAACTCTTCCGATTAGAAGCTACCATACATAACATGAGATTAATATAATACGAACTCTGACAATATTATAAAACTATACATATGCGGTTTTCATACACTTCCCCCTTGTCTGAAAATACTTATTTCTGCTAACATGAGTAAGTGAAAGTTGTGTGATGCGCGCAACGCACCAGATTTTTATTATTGTGATTTTTTAACTGAAGACTTTTTTTTAGCGCGTTTCGTACTTTTTTTGTGAACAGTGAATTAGATTGAACCGTCAGATATCCGATGTGTAACGCTCGGGTAAGGTCAGCTGGAGTAGATTAATTAAAGTGTTTTTTGCATATGGATTAAAATATCTCAAAAACTAAAAATCGGGCCTGCATATTCTAAGCGAGGGAAATATTCAATATATCATCCTCTTTGTAATGAGCTATTATTTAAAATTATATCTTAACGCTATACTCTGATAGAGAGACAAAAAGGGAAAAATAGTGTAAAAAACAAAACAAATTATAACAAGTTTTATTGAAAATATGGATTAAAATATCTCAGAAACTAAAAAATTGGGCCTGCATACTGTAAGCGAGGGAAATGTTCAGTATTTTATCATGTTTGTAATGAGCTATTATTTATAATAGGAGTGTCTGTCTCCCCCTCCCCCAAGGTGAAACCGACGCCCCCTCCTCCTCCCAAGATATTTTAATAATAATAATATTTTATTTATTCTGGGACGAATCACTTTAGAATAATACAGAAAGACATAAATATGGGCTAAGGAGCGTTAAAGATACATAAATAAAAATACAGAGTAATTAAACAGTCATAGTAAAAAAAATGAAAAAATATAAGTTACTTTCTAATTTTAATCAGTTGATAACAAAAAATTGAAAAAAAAGGATAAAGTAAAAAAATTGTAGAACGAACTAATAATTTATATACCTATTTACATTAGTACCTATTTACAATTTCATGGAGACTGGGTGGGTAAGAAATGATTGAACAGGCGGGATTTAAAGGTAGGAAGGGTATTTAATTGACGAATGTGAGAGGGGTGGGAGTTCCAAATGGATGAGGATCGGATAATGAACGATCTGTCGAAAGCAGCGGTTCGGTGGGCCATTATGTATAAATCAGAAGACCGGGAACGAGTATTGCGGGAACGTACAAAGGATTTGAATTGAAGGAGCTCGGAGATGTATGAGGGGCAGTGGAATTGGATGACTTGAAAGAGGAAGGATGCCAGGAAATATTTAGAAATCAGACGGTAGGAAGGATAAAGCCACTTCAACTCCGGATAAAAATGGAAAACAGAGGCATCCCTTGGTATCCCGAAAATGAATCGTACAAAGGAATTTATTAAACGTTTTAGTTTCGCCTCGAGATCCCCAGAGACGCCCCCATATACCGAACAGCAATAGTCAAAGTGGGGGAAAATTAAGGAGGTGACTAGGAGCCTACGGGTTTCAATTGCTGGTGTTTCTTAAAAACAGAGCAAGTTAAAGTAGAATTAGAAAAATTGTAAATGACAATTACACTTGATGTTGATGCGGTCTGTTCCATGTTTTCTCTTTGTTCCTTACTTCGAAAATTCAGGAAAATATTATTATCGCTAAAAGTAATATTTTTCCTAAGAATCACTTAAACATAATTTCGTATAAAAAGTTAGTTTCTTTCTTTTACGTAATTGTTGTTGTATATATAAAAAAAAATTATTTCGAGGTGAAGCCCTCCCCAAAATTAATTCCTGAATCCTTCAGCGTCCCTATCTGTGATCCGTTCGAAAGTGTTGGGACGATCGGGGTCACCTTTAGAGACGGGTGCAGCTATTTAAGCCATCGCACGGCAGTGTTCTCTTAGGGCTAAATACGTTTTCGAAAAGTAATTACATAAAGAGAAAAGTGGAGCTGGCGATGATGATTTCTCCAGCAGACAATAGAGAGCGGTGCGGCGGTGGGGAGGTGGTGGGGGGCGAGAGAGGTCGAGGGGTGGGGGTGAACCCTGAGAGCTCAGTGCTCGGCTGGCCGCCGCTAGAGGCAGGTTGTCTGTTAGTGCTTTTTCTTTGTTCTGTCTTCCAGCTCTGGTCCACCGCTTCTTTGGGATTAACTCGCTACTACCTCGCTGGCAAAGTGGATTCGCACAAGAACCAATTGGACTCTTGTATCAGGATGGCGCTTGCCAGGTAAGGAGGCAATTGGATGTTTTCTTATTGATTGACTTGCTCGGCTCGTGGCAAGGTTAGGCTATTGTCAGCTCTGTTTAGAGGTCCCGGTTGATCCGGAAGGATAACCCCCGTGCTGGTACAGGTACTGGCGTGCTTGTGCCTCTGCCGTGGCAGTGTACGGCGGCCTTGGCTATTAGCAGCCGTTATCAGGGTAAGGTCGCGACACCAAGGCCTGTTTGAATTGAGGCGGGCGGAGCTCCATCGATCGTCCTCTTCTGCTATATTCAGGATCAACAGGGTCGTCTGTATAACTTTATAATATCATGTATAATATATAATGTAATGGCATGGCGTATCATCCATCGTTCGAGGTCAGGAGTATTAAGGCCAAAGTCCTGTCTCATTAATACTACTCGGTGTTAGCTTAAACAGCATGTTGTTATCAGCTCTATACCTGATTTTGTTTTGCATTTATAAACGCAATGCCTCCCCCCTTGAGTGTCATCTAATTTCCTTATTTCTTTTATACATTCTTCAATAATTATTAACCTCTGAATTGTTTTGAGACTATGGCATCTCTGTGCTCCGGAGGTCATCGGATACCATGTCTATTTTTTCATTAAATAATTAAGTAATGAAGAAACAAATTAATAGTTCAAAGCTATAGAAAAATGGCTTCCTGGACAAACAAAAAAATCTGACATGGTGTCTTTTACCTCCGGGATACAGATTTAATAACAAATAAATAAATGTTAATAGCTCAAAGTTATCGAACATTGGCTCTGTATTTCTGAACAAATACAAAAAAAGGACATCTGGGGTGCAGGTATTTATTCTTTTTCAGGTTATTAGTCTTTAAATTATATATATTATTTCTGTGTATACTAGGGTGACAATCTATGAAGAAATTTAATAATTGTCTGATATTTTTTAATAATAACGAGACGGGACCTCACATCGAGACTGGTCGAAAACAAACAAGAACGAGTCGAATTAAATGACAAGGAGGTAGTTGTGGCGAGGGGTCAACACCCGCGGGCGCTGGTGTGCTCCACCGGCTTGTTTTTTAAATCTCCCGCCATCGAGGGGGGGGGGGGCCGCCTATAGGCCGCTGAAGGGGGCTCGCCTCGGGCCTCGGGGCTTTTGATAGTATAGCCTTCCTATCGTCATGGTAACTTGTTCTGCAATTTATTTATAATTATATACAGCTTTTAATAAAAGTATTAACATCCACCTAAAACGTCGTGGATTTGTTACTTCTCAACGTAATTTTCAACTTTTTTATTTACGAAAAATTTAGGAATTGGGTTGTTTTCAATAAGATATCGCTAAGCACTCATGAACAAGCCATTTGCTTTCCAATCGAATCTTATGATAATTTGATCACAAAATCGAGAAAAAAATATTGGGCTATTTAGCATGACATCCACCACCAATATGTCAAAGTAATTAGGTTATATGCACCAATATTTTTGTAGGCCACTATTTTTTTTTTCAATTTTGTGATCAAATTATCTTGCGATTGAAACGGAAAGCAAATGGATATTTATTAATTTTTAATACTTCATTAATTTAATTAATTAAATGATAAAATGCCCTTTTTCTGAGAATTTTCGTAGATATATAAAGTTTTAGGTTACGACAAGATGAAGCCATTCACGAAGTTTTAAGAAAATGTTAATAATGAAGAGTAGGATGGTTGGAGTGATCAGTCAGAAATAAAATGGCAAAAATAAATAATAATGTTTATTTTAACATTTGCCGACGTTTCCACCTAAAGCTCAGGCCTTCATCAGGGCTAAGAAAAGAAAAGATGATTTCAGGTCGAAACGTCGGCAAGTGTTAAAATTAATATTATTATTTATTTTTGCCATTTTATTTCTGACTGATCACCCCAACCATCCTCTTCATTATTCACGACAGTAAACTATCAACCCACAATTATGAATTTGTTAATAATTTGATAAAATGGGCTGTATACCACGGACTATAAGGTTTATTCTTGTTAATGAATTATTGTTGAATCAAATGAATTGATAATAAACAAAATATATTAATAAAAACGTAAATGTTCATTTGTTCAAAACCGCTAATCTCCGAAACTTTTTTACCGATTGTTTTGAAATATTGATATAATGTTTCTATCGCATTGAGGCGTGTTTTTATATACATTTAATCACCCTTCAGTCTTTCGTTTCGAAAAGGCGTTCCAAAAACCTTTGTCGCCTAAACGATTGTAACGATTTTAATTAGACTTGGCTAAAGTCATTGAAGCCCTTTTAATTTATGTATATAACATACTTCCCCGAAAAAGGTATGAAAAGAAAAAGTTGCAATGGTTTCAAAACTATATTTGTATATAACTCACAAAGTACACAATTTTTGTTAATTATACGCATCATTATTTGAAAGCTTTCTTGATTCTCTGCAAATAAAAAAAAATCACTAAAATCGGACTATTCGGTGCAGAGATATAATGTTTAAAACATTTAGTAATTTTTCTTAGGTCTACACTAAGAATGGAACAGCAAAGAATATCGTATATTCACAAGTATCGTTACATAAAATATATTAAAACATCTGATTTCTTTTTCTATTTAACCAGAATGAGCTACAGCAACGCGTGGCCGGGTACATCTAGTTTATTATACTGCTTCAAAACGGACTTACTACGACTTACGGTGGCCTGTCCCTTTGTCGATATTTATACCTAGGCACCAGGTGATCATTGGGCCCGGTGGTTTTTGACATTTTTTGCCTGCAGTCTGGAGCTCTCTACCTGGATGAGGTCTTTCCTCCCCTTCTCGAGCTCCGTGCTGTATATTTGCCGAGATTCCACCCCCCAGCCTGTCGGATTGTCCTGACGTCAGACCGTACTCCTGTTCGGACTATCTTGGGTGACCTCCAGGACGATGGAGAGGATCCGACACGCTTTCGTTTGTATTATCCTCCCAACTTTCCACAGCCCTTTACTATCAGACACCTCTTACCTCCCTCTCTCTTCACTTCGATATATTAATGGCGGTCGTAGAGTAGAAAATAGGCCGCCTTTAATTAATTTACTTATTGTTCTTCGGCTGATAGTCTGTTCTACTGATTAGGGCCAACGACAGTATGACAGTCGCTGTCGTGGCGGTGGAGCTATCGTCATTGTGATCTGTTGACCTTGCGCTCCGATATAAAACACTGAGTGCAATGCTGCTCCAACTGGCTATCGGGGTCGTAAAGATCTTGACCAATGATATGAACCAACAATGGACAATAACAATAGAATCGTCAGTGATTGGTGGCCGTGCTATTAATTTAAGTTCAATAAATATAATAGGAAGAGAGAGTTTTAAAATCATTAGTATATTTGTTAATTAATATTTGTCAGCTTTGAACGCCTAGAAGAGAGTTCAAATATGAGTATATTTTCAGTAAAAACACTATCGATTGTTAGGTTTGAACCGCAAGTGATATGCTACAATAATAAATTATTAGTTGATCTATCTGTAGTTTATCATTTTTCTTTTTGTTTAGTTTAAAATTTTACAGAATTCATTTAGGATTTTTTTAATTATATAAAAAAATCCTATTAACTCCCAAAACCTCAATTACTAGTAAAATATATGCTGTCGAAAATACTGAAGTTTTTTTATTAATAAATAACTAATTGACTGCATTAAAAAAAATACTTAATTTGACCACTTAAACCCATTTGTAAAGACTACTATCAAAACTAAAGCTATAGTTCACATTAATGTTCAAAATTTCTGAACATATTTTCGTTTTGTAAATTTGAAATTATTATGTTAAAATAAAATACTGATTGAGATTGTCAGAATATCCGTGTGACTATATTTCATATTATTAACGCTTATTTCATGAATATTGCTCACTATATTAGCTCACAGAAAAATAGTAATAAACAAAACTATAAATTTTCCTGTGTTTACTTTTGCAAAATATAAGAAATTAGGGGAAAATATATAAATGTTCTTTCGTGTTTATACAACTTCATAACCATTATAACTGACAAGTTTTCTATTCTGTTTGTATAATTTTTTTTTTTTTTTTGTAAATGTTCCATTTCTCTTTTCTATCTACTTGTCAACTATAAGGAAAAATAATTTGTTAACATAGAAATTATTATTAAAGCAACTAATTAATTGTTCATTATTAATCGATTATTTCCTATTAATCGACTGATATGTTCACCATGGGAGAATGGACCAGATGATAAATAGTAACAATAAATTACAACATGTGGAAGAACGCTTCTATCTTATCTTTTCTCGATTAGAAACTTTTATTATTCTAGCGGATCCCACCTTCATATTTTATTCAAACTTTAGATAAATTATCTTTTTTAAGGCTTACATTTTATTTTGAGAGAGCGGAATAGCTCAGTGAGTTAGGCACTGTGCTCTTAAGCTCTAGGTCCCGGGTTCGAATCCAGCTGATATCAAGTACTTTTTCATCAGCCATGGATTGAGCATGGGGTCGGGAGCCTGTGCCACACACAGGCTCTATAAAGTGAGTACTCTTAATGATTAATTTAGGGGAGAACATGGTGGTTGAGCGTGATCCTGGCCAGATGACCTCCCTGCGTAACCGTTGGCATTGAAACAATACTTCATAGGTTGTAGTAGTACAGGTTTTTTAATTTTTTATTTATATATTCATTTTCAATATGATGTTTCTATATACATATCTTATTTTTTTTTTTTTTTTTTTGTTGCTTCAGTAGTTTCCGTTAAACTAGAAGAGAATATATCCTCCCGTGAGAATATATTTTAAGAAAGGGAAAAGAAGAGAAAAGAAAAAAAAGATGTGGGGGCAGGGGATTGGTAGTAAGGAGAGGTAGGTCTGTTTGTATTGTACCTAATGTACCCAGGGGTACCAGCTGGCCTGGGGGGTGTACGCCTCCCACGCCTGTCCCTCCTCACCTCTTATATTATATGTATAGATATTTTTTATTTTCTCGTTATTGTCATATTCCTTACAGAGCTGAGGAGAAAGTACTGGTCGTCAGTACTGGTACAGGTATTAGGGAGGAGGGGGGAGAGGGGTTGTGTAAGAAAGAGAAATAAAAGAAGCGAGTTGTGCGCTTATTGTTGCCCAACTGACCCCGATCTTTGGACTAATTTCACTCTCAATTCGCTGGACTGTATGCTCCAATTGTGTATTGTCCAAATCTAAGTATTATCAGTTCCAAAAAAATATTTACTCCACAGGAAAGGAAAAAAAAAAACCATCACCGATACCTATAGAATATAAAACAAAACTATTTTATCTAACAATTTACGAACGTGTGGTCACAGATTTCAATGAAACTTTTTTTGGCGATGCTAGGTCGAAAAATATTAGATCCATGTTCGAAGGTTTTTTTTCAAATGCGCCTTAAGAGCTGAGAAAAATAATATTTCATAATTTTTTTTTATATTACTATTTTCTTTATTTGCTCCTCATAGATTTCTAAGTTATTTTATATCGATGGATTTTTTTATTTATTTTTTTTTAGTAAAATAAGAAAAGCATATTGCTATTTGTATTAAACTAATTTTAATTTAAAATAAATTACAAACTATATGACGCTTCCAGTAAAGTAGGCCATGTCAAGTTTCGTCATTTAAAATTTGCTATTTAGATTCGTTTTAAGCGTCCATTAAAACCCTTAAATATGTATTTGTTTTGAAGTCAAAGAATATAAATTTTTTGGGCTTAATTTTACGAGAGGATTATTTTTTGCATACTTGTTTACTAAAATATTCCTTTAGGATTTTCTCTCAAGTCAACGTTACTCAAACCGTTGAAAAGCTATTGATTTTCAAAAATATATCAACAACTTTCAGATTTTAATAATTTATAAGGAATAAATAGAGAAAAAAAACTCCAGAAACATTTTTATTTTTTTATCTTAGTTTATTTGCGGGCGTCTGGTTTTTGTCATATCGTCTATTTTATAGACTGATAAATTCATGCAAATTTTTCTTTGGTTAGGCGGAGCCATGTTGAAGTTAGACTTAGTTAGAAAACAGTAATATAATAAAATTTGATAAAATATTATTGTTCTCTGCTCCTAGGCCGCATTAGCAAGATCCCTCGGGCATGGTTCTAATATTTTTCGACCTAGTATCACCAAAAAAAAAGTTTTTTGAAATATGTGGCCCCACGTCCTTAAAATCGTCTTGCAAGTTATGAAAATTATAGAACGCATTTGTCACTGTTTTAATGTTTGTGAAACTTGAAAACAATGCCGTTTTTATAGAGTCTCATTTATTTCCATAGGTTTTCGAAGCTTTCGGTGTTCTGGATCGTATTCATATAAAATTTTTTTTAAATATATACTTTTTAAAAGGTGTATTGTTTCTAATTTTTATTATAAATTACACATTCTGCCTATTATATGTTTGTTTGATTTTTTTTTTTAAACTTATTTATTGAAAAATATTACAATCTGTCTCAAAGGACATTTATAATAGTGTTCAGAAATCACATTCACACTCTATATACATTAAATGAAATAAATTATACAGGAAAATAATATATATATGCAATAAATAAGAATAAAATAACCTAAAAATAACGTATACATATCTATATACACTATTTACAATCTGGCGAGAGAACTCCGAACTAGACATGTCCCTGTGGAGAAAAAGCATGATTCCAGGAGTTCCCTGCTTTTCTCTAAAAACAAAATGTTCATTTAATTGCGTTACAAATACAACAGACAGAAAATTCAATTTTTTCTGAAACGATTACGATTGTTTTCGGTTACGGACACGAGCTGGCAATAGATAATATGTATTTGATTTCGATTAGGAATTGGTGCAACGTGTATTCATTATCAGCTTATTGTGATAATCATTCCTGCCATTTACATCTATTTCCGTTCCAAAACTCAACGATTTATCTTTTTTTTTTCATGGCTGCCATTTATTCTCAAGGAGTCGATAGCTCGCTTTGAGAGATCCAGAGCTGTGTGCCATTGCAATGAAGCCGGGAGGGAATAGCTTATTGTTTATTATCATCACTCAATAATAATATTGTTTATTCTCTTCACGATCACAGTTGTACCACCGTAGCAATATTACTACTGTCACGTTAGCTGCCACGTGTAAACCAATACCAATGCCCTCGCTCACCTTCTATAATTAAATCATTAGTATTATCATTACCAAAGTATATTCCAAAAAAATGTATTCACTTTGAGACTAAAATAGATCCTTTTTAAATATTCCACCACATTAGTACTGCAGATAATTAAAAAAGAAATCTCATGGTTTAGGGACTTACTTAATCTGATAGAACTGCGTGCATTAAATTTCCACTTAAACCGATCTAACTGTGATGATGTTAAAGTATGGAGAGCTAATTTATATTTACTGAAATTCAGAAAAACATATATAATCAATATGTAATTAAAGTCCAGAATTCTAAATCTGTTACTTTTTCTCCTCATTTAACTTCAGTAAATTATATTGATGACAAAAGCTCATTGAAGGTGATCAGATGGGTAATTAAGATTAGAGCTGATGTTCCTGTATCACTTCCTGGCTGCTTGTCCGATACTCTCTGAATTTAGAATTAAATGGTTAAAATCTAGAAATTTATCTCGGGATCAAGTAATAGATTTAATAAATGGAAACAATTGTATAGCATTGGTAAATTACTGCAAGTCTGCTTTCATCTATTAATGCTCACCAGATAATTTAACAATTAATAAATTGAAGAATTTTGGTACCACTCTTTTTATCATTAAAATATTTATATAACTTTTACATTGTAAATATAATTGTTCTTATTAATTAGTTATATAAATAGATTGAAATATAATTTTGTAATAAAACATAGACTCCTCTGACGGTCAACAGACCATGTAGCACGTTTTTAAATCCAAAAATATTATTTTGTAAATTATATTATCTAACTTTGGTAAATAAAAAGACTTTTTCTTCATCGTCTTCTTCATTAGTAATATCGTGGTGTCAAATGCTTCATACATTGTGCTATTTCGATTATTTCTGAGTTTAAAATCCCACCCAATGTTGCTATTTGCAATAGATTTACTTGGCTTTCTTTGGCAATAAACTTTATGCCTTTGTTTCTCAACTGTAACGAGATTTATTCCTTGGCACAGTTGGTATCTCGCAGGCTTTAAAT